GTGCTGAAGACGTGTGCTCCGGAGTTGGCACCGGTTTTAACGCGTCTTTTCCGGTACTCCTACTCCCAAGGCGTAGTCCCGAATTCATGGAAGACAGCTTTGGTCCACCCGATCCCTAAAAAAGGCGACCGCTCAGACCCGTCCAACTACAGGCCTATTGCCATCACCTCCTTGTTCTCCAAAATAATGGAATCCATTATAAACTGCCAGCTCATGAGGTACCTTGAGGATCACCAGCTGATTAGTGACCGCCAGTACGGTTTTCGTCGAGGTCGATCAGCTGGTGATCTTCTAGTCTATTTGACTCATAGATGGGCGGAGGCAGTAGAGTCCAAGGGGGAGGCATTGGCCGTTAGTTTGGACATAGCGAAGCCCTTCGATCGGGTCTGGCACAAAGCGCTTCTTTCGAAGCTTCCTTCCTATAGGCTTCCCGAGAAATTGTGCAAATGGATCACCAGTTTCCTTGCTGTTTGGATTATCAAGGTCGTAGTAGACGGTGCATGCTCTGATTTCAAGCCTATCAACGCTGGTGTTCCACAAGGCTGCGTGCTATCACCAACGCTGTTTCTCCTGCATATCAATGATATGTTGCTAACTGGTAGCATTCATTGCTATGCGGACGACAGCACTGGTGATGCCTTATATACCGGCCGTGCCAATATTTCTCGGTAAAACGTCGCTGAGTACCGGGACAAACTTGTGTCTGAAGTTGAGTCTTTGCTTAACAAAGTCTCGGATTGGGGCCGACTAAATCTAGTCCAGTTCAATCCCCAGAAGACACAAGTTTGCGCGTTTACCGCTAAGAAGAACCCCTTTGTCGTATCTCCTCAGTTTCAAGGCACTCCCCTTGCTGCCTCAGCTAGTATCGGAATCTTTGGCGTCGACATATCGAATAGTGTGCAGTTTCGTGGTCACTTGGAAGGGAAGGCCAAATTGGCCTCTAAAAAGCTTGGCGTGCTCAGCAGAGCGAGACAGTATTTCATGCCGGCACATCGCTTGCAACTTTACAAAGCGCAAGTTCGGCCCCACATGGAATACTGTTCTCATCTCTGGGCCGGGGCACCCCAGTGCCAGCTCCTTACACTTGACCGCATCCAGCGCAAAGCGGTTCGAATCGTCGACGACCGAGTTCTTTCTGATCGGCTCGATACACTGGCACTGCGTAGAGATGTGGCATCTCTTTGCGTATTTTATCGCATCTATCACGGGGAGTGCTCTGAGGAATTGTTCGGACTAATTCCAGCCGCTCAATTTCACCATCGCACGTCGCGACAAAACTCGCGTTACCATCCATACCATCTGGATGATTGGCGGTCCACCACTGTGCGATTTAGAAGAAGTTTTCTCCCTCGCACAACTTCTTCGTTGAATCAATTACCACCAGCGAATTTTCCGGACCGATACGACTTAGGAACCTTCAAGAAAAGAGCTTACACCTTTCTAAAAGGCCGGCAACGCATCTGCGATTCCCCTGGTGTTGCAGTTGTTCATGGGCGGTGGTAGTCACTTACCATCAGGTGAGCCGCATGCTCGTTTGCCCCTTCTTCTTTATAAAAAAAAAAATCGATTTATTAGAGGCTCCTACTGAGTGTTTATTATTACGATGTCGATATAATTTTGTTATATATTTGTTTTCTTTATGAAATTTCGAGTGTTTTTTCTACATAATAGTTAGATATTTGAGTGTAGAATTTAGTATTTCATAATTCATATATATAAATTTTATAAACTTTGTCTTCTTACTCTTTTCGATTTTCATGAAGACACAAAATGTTCACATGTGTGTAATACATACATTTTCAGAAAAATGGCGGAATTTGATAACTTATGGTGTAACTCGGACGAGGGCGATCATACAGCCCAGAGTCAGGAAGTTGGCGGTGTCTCACCCCCGTACCTCGAAAAGCATGTACAACCGTTGGTTCTGCGCCTGATCTCTCTCCTGTTATGTTGGTTTATCGTTCCGTATATATATATTAATTATCTACACCTATCATATGACGTAAACATGAAACACATCTATGAAAAGGAGTCTCTGGTTTTTCTCACTTACTAATTATAAGACAGCAGTGCTATCCTGGTCAATCCAACTCATGACCATAGAAATATGTTATATGTATATCTAAAATGTCTCATCTTAGTTGTTTTTCAGGAGCAGAATATGCAGGGGGAATTCGATAACTCCAATGAGGTTACCCTACTGGCCATGTTTGATGAACATGGACAGCAATTGGAGTGTCCAAGTGTCCCTTTAGGACCCGCACCTTCCACTGAGCCAGCACAAGTAAATCCGCCATTACCAGTGTCACTATCTTCTTCGTAAGTTAATTTTGTTATTATGTTTGTATTGTTGCGCGCCACTATTAATGTCTTGTACATGGCAACACTAGTTACACTAGCGCCCCCTAGTGTCGAGTTAATGAAAGTATTGCGTGCCACTATTAATGTCTTGTACATGGCAACACTAGGTACACTAGCGCCCTCTAGTGTCGAGTAGCAGAACTACAAGAGTCGAGATCCTTCCAGAAATTTCGGGACCGATATGTACTCGAACATTCTAGATGTCGCTACAGTAGAAGGTTCCGGAAATTATCTGAGGCCCTATATAAGGCCGGTATAGACCACGACCAGGGCAGTATTGAATTGGCGATACAAGAGAATACTTCGAAGCGAAATAACGGCGAACTGTGTTTTATTATTAGTGTGATTTTTGATTGTAATTAGTGTTGTGTAATTAAAGTGTCAATTTTGGTAATTCAGTCGGCAGTTTTTAATTGTCTCGAACCCCAAGTTCGTAACAATTGGTGTCAGAAGTGGGATCAAATATGCCGATTTTACCTAAAGACGACACGGAGGGTATCCGTACCCGAAGTCAACGCCAACAGGAGACGGACCAGAGACGATTTGGTAATGCAATGCCGCAAACGTCGGAGGGCCAGTTGCTAACCACGGAGGCTGGCCCGTCAGCAGCTCCTGCATCTGCAGCACCTGACTTGGGTGCTCTGATGATGATGCTGCAGGATCAGGCTCGCCGACAGGAGGAACAGGCCCGCCGACAGGAGGAACAGGCCCGCCGACAGGAGGAACAGACCCGTCGGCTGGAAGAGCAGCTGCAGCGCGGTATGGAAGAACAGATGCTCCTCAGGAAGGACCTTCACGCTACCTTCGGGAAAGAGATAAAGGAGGTGAAGGATAGGGTTGCTCAACATGACAACCGCCTGTCGGAAGCTGAAACCCGAATCGACCAAGTGAACAATCGGGTTGACAACGTGATGGCTGATGTGAAGAAAACGCTGGACGACCTCAAACTTGGGGATGGAGTTACAGCTCCCGTGGTAGCTACAACACCTTCGCTACGTGGATTCAAAGTGCCGCCGTTCGACGGGACTTCTTCCTGGTTGGCCTATAAAATCCAGTTCGAGGCTGTCATGAAAGCGAACGGCTGGAATAAAAGTCAGGCCATGACTGCTCTCACCCTAGGCCTGCGCGACCAGGCATTAACTGTTCTGGAAGCTCTCGGTAAGGAAGTGACTTACGAGCAGCTCCTTGAGGCATTGGAGGCGAGATATGGCGACGCTCACCTGGAACACGTCTTTCGTGCGCAGCTCAAAGATCGCGTGCAACGCAGTAACGAAAACCTGCAGCAGTGGGCCCTTGAGGTGGAGAAGCTGGTTCGAAAAGCGTACCAGTCTGTACCTGCGCTTATTGTAGGGAACCTGGTGCAGACATTCATCGACGGCATCCGTGACCTTGAAGTCAGAGCTGCTGTGAGGCTCGGGCACCACGAGACGCTTAAGGACGCCTTGACCCATGCACTGGAGGTGGAAGCCGTGCGGCAGGATCATCGTTCCCACCGCGTCAGGGAGGTTGCAACAGCTAAAGTTCAGGACCGCAATAAAAGCTACAGCCCTAGGTGCTACGGCTGTGGAGAAAGGGGCCATCTTCGATCCAGCTGCCCTAAGCGAACTGTAGGAAGGGAAGGTGATCGATCTCGAGAGGGTAGTGCGGATAATAGCACCGCCCAGCAGCAGCAGGGAAACTGGCGGGTGCTGGCTGATGTTAAAAGAGCCCCAAGGATTTCGATCTCACAAACTCATGATGGGAACAGCCTAATCATCAAGGGCGAAGTCAACGGAACGCCATGTAAACTGACCATAGACACTGGAGCCTCTCGCACGGTTGTCAGTTCCCAACTTATAAGTCGGTTCCTTGGTGACTCCGCATACAACCGAGAACGCATTAATTTGGTGACAGCCACTGGTCAGCGCATACCCGTCCGTGGAGAGAAGGAGATGGAGTTGAAGCTAGGCAACATGATCTACCTGCATAATGTCATCGTGGCTGATATAATGGACGACTGCATCCTGGGCCTAGACTTTATGAGGAAGAATTGTTGTGAGATCGACGTTAAGCAAGGTGTTTTGAAATGTGGACAAGAAGAACTTTTCATGGAAGGGGCGTTACCAGGGAATGTGTACAGCCTTAAGAAGATTGTTCTTCCGCCGAAATCGGAAACGATTGTGCCGGTTAGTCTTCCTCGGAGTCCTGGGCAAGCTCATCGTTGTGTACTCGTGGAAAGGGTAGACAATGACCTTCCATGGAAAGTGGCTCGAACCTTGGTCAGAACCACCAACATCTCAGGAGTACGTGTGTTGAACCTTTGTGATCAGGAACAGATTATAGAAAAAGGCACATTGGTTGGTACTAGTGAGGAAGTGGATTGGTTGCGTCGGTGCGAATATCTATCGACCGGGACCCCTAGCAAGGATGGACAAACGAGAGTGACCACACTTTTAGAAGACTGTCGCAGCGTTCTCTCCCCGAATGAAATGGTCAAGGCGAAGAAGTTGTTACTCAAGTACGCCAATGTTTTCTCGTCAAACGAAGCTGACATAGGAAAGACTGGCTTAGTTCAACACAAAATAAACACAGGACAAGAATTGCCTATTCGTCAGCGGCCAAGGAGATTGCCTGTAGCACGTGAAAAGGAAGTGGAAACCATGATTGAGGGAATGGTGAAGGATGGTGTTATTGAACCTTCATCTAGTCCATGGTGTTCACCTGTGGTGCTGGTAAAGAAGAAGGACGGCAGCATGCGGTTTTGTGTTGACTACCGCCGCCTGAACGACGTTACGAAGAAGGACAGCTATCCCTTGCCTAGAATTGATGACACGCTGGACATGCTCACAGGCGTAAAGTGGTTTAGTACGCTGGACCTGAAAAGTGGCTACTGGCAGGTTGAAATTGACCCTAAGGACAAGGAGAAAACTGCATTTTCCACAGGAAAGGGTCTGTGGCAATTTAAAGTTATGCCGTTTGGATTGTGCAATGCTCCAGCAACGTTTGAAAGATTGATGGAACTTGTACTTACCGGGCTAATTGGAGATGCCTGTCTGGTCTATTTGGATGATATCATCATCGTAGGCCGTACGTTTGAGGAACACCTTCAAAACCTGGAACGCGTGCTCATGAAGATCCAGAGTGCCAACCTCAAGTTGAGTCCAAAGAAGTGCTCACTATTCAAACGGCAAGTTAGTTTTTTGGGGTATGTAGTGTCGGAAGAAGGTATCCGCACGGATCCAGAGAAAATTGCTGCTGTCAAGGAGTGGCCGGTCCCAAAAGACAAGACACAGGTTAGAGCATTTTTGGGTTTGTGCTCTTATTATCGGCGATTTGTGAAGAACTTTGCAGATATAGCCAAACCTCTGCACAAGCTAACCGAGGAGAAGCGACAATTCTGCTGGGATGAAAGTTGCGATATTGCATTCCAGGAGCTCAAGAACCGCCTGTGCAAAACACCTATTTTGGGGTACCCTGATGCGGGCAAGGAATTCATAGTTGACACAGACGCAAGTGATATAGGACTTGGCGGTGTGTTGTCTCAACGGAATGGTGATCAAGAGATTGTGATAGCGTACTTCAGCAAGTCGTTGTCAAAGCCGGAAAGGAACTATTGTGTCACAAGACGGGAATTGCTTGCTGTGGTAAAGTCCTTGCAGCATTTTAGCAAATATCTTCTAGGGCGGAAATTCCACTTACGAACTGACCATGCTGCACTGAAATGGCTATTGCAGTTCAAAAATCCGGAAGGACAAGTTGCGAGATGGATAGAACTACTGCAGGAATACGACTTTGTGATCGAACATCGCAGCGGGAAATCTCATGGCAATGCAGATGCATTGTCAAGAAGACCTTGCCCTGAAGATTGCAAGCATTGTACTAGGCAAGAGGGTAAGGAAGTGGTATCTGTGAGAATGCTCAGGACAGACCAGCTCAGCAATGAGTGGAAGGACAGCTTACAGCATGCACAGCAGGAAGATTCGGACATTAAGCCGATTCTGGAATGGATGAAGGCCAGTGCTCCTAAGCCCAAGTGGAGCGACGTCTCAGCAATGAGTTCGACCACAAAAAGCTATTGGGCCCAATGGGACAGCTTGCTGATTCAGGATAGAGTCCTGTGCCGTAAATGGGAAAATGGTCGGGGAGACAGGTGTCATTTGCAAATGGTTGTCCCTAAGGCTAAAGTGCCGGATATTCTACAACTGTACCATAGTAGTTCTTCAGGAGGCCACCTGGGAGTTAAACGAACTCTCCTGAAGATCCGAGAACGGTTTTACTGGGTCGTGACGATGTCGAGGACTGGTGCCGCAAATGTACAAGTTGTGCGGCTGTAAAGGGACCTCAAATTCGTAGTAGAGGCGCATTGAAATTGTACAATGTTGGTGCACCATGGGAGAGGATAGCCATTGACGTTGCGGGGCCGTTTCCGGAAAGTGAAAGTGGTAACAAGTATTTCATGGTTGTGATGGATTACTTCACTAAGTGGCCAGAAGTCTTCGCCATTCCAAATCAAGAAGCTTCAACAGTTGCAGATAAACTAGTTCATGAAGTCTTCTGTCGTTTTGGAGTACTCTTAGAGATTCACAGCGATCAAGGAAGGAATTTCGAGTCTCAAATATTCCAGGAAACTTGCAGAGTTATGGGTACTCATAAAACACGAAGAACTTCTTACCACCCACAATCTGATGGAATGGTAGAACGATTTAATCAGACATTGGAAAGGTACCTGGCAAAAGTTGTGGAAAAACGGCAACGAGACTGGGACAGGCACATACAACCGTTTTTGTTGTCATATCGAAGCGCTGTTCACGAAAGTACATCATTGACGCCAGCTTTCGCAAACTTTGGGAGAGAATTACGGCTGCCTGCAGACCTGATCACCGGAATACCACCAGATGCCCCCCGCAGTATAACCGATTATGCAAATGACTTGCGGAACAAAATGAATGACATTTATGAGCACGTCAGACAGACGGGCCAGCAAACGTCTGAGAAGATGAAAACACGGTATGACCGCAAAATAAACAACAAGGGGTTTGATGAAGGTTCTCTAGTGTGGTTACACAATCCAGTTCGCAGCAAAGGGAAATCTCCTAAGCTTCAAGCTAAATGGGACGGACCGTACCGGATTGTGACAAGGATCAATGACGTAACCTACCGGATACAGAAAGGTGCCAGAGGTACTCCTAAGATTGTCCATGTAGATCGACTGGCGCGTTATTATGGGGCCAATAATGCTCGGGACGAGCATGTCTTAGGAGGGGGCAGTGTTGCGCGCCACTATTAATGTCTTGTACATGGCAACACTAGTTACACTAGCGCCCCCTAGTGTCGAGTTAATGAAAGTATTGCGTGCCACTATTAATGTCTTGTACATGGCAACACTAGGTACACTAGCGCCCTCTAGTGTCGAGTAGCAGAACTACGAGAGTCGAGATCCTTCCAGAAATTTCGGGACCGATATGTACTCGAACATTCTAGATGTCGCTACAGTAGAACTTACTTACTTACTTACTTATCTTCACGCACAATCCCTGACGGGGTAGCCAGAGAGAACAGATCGCCATGTGTCACGATCCTTACATATCTCTTTCGCTTCTTTCAGATTCATTATCTTCTTCATACATGCACGTCTAGGTATCCGAGTACTCTTGACCCTACCCTCTTCGAGCAATTTGCTCACATGGTCTTCGAAAGTTAGTCTCGGTCTACCTCGACACCTTTTAATATTAACTTTCGCGCTATATATTTTCTTCACCATTCGGTCTTCACTCATTCGCTCAACGTGCCCAAACCACCGAAGCACGCCCTTATCAATTTTTGTGATAAGGTCATCTTTCAAACCTGCCATATTGCGAATCTCTTCGTTTCGCTTTCGGTCGGCCATAGTAACGCCGCACATTTTACGAAGAGATCGCATCTCCACTGCATTCAACTTACTTTTATGCTTCTTCTGGCATACCCAGGTTTCGCTGCCATATAACAAAGTCGGTACCAACACTGCGTTATGTATTGCAAGGCGTGCACTCTTCGCTACGCCTTGCCTTTTGACTAACGCAGTCAGGGCACCATTGACTTTGTTCCCGGCAGCGACACGCCTGTCCACATCTAAATCACATCTTCCATCCCGGCTAAAAGCACTCCCCAAGTATACAATTTCATTTACCTGTTCTAGACATTCCTGATTTACCCATATTTCACACTTCGTTCTCTCTTCGTCCCTTTCAAATACAGTAGAAGGTTCCGGAAATTATCTGAGGCCCTATATAAGGCCGGTATAGACCACGACCAGGGCAGTATTGAATTGGCGATACAAGAGAATACTTCGAAGCGAAATAACGGCGAACTGTGTTTTATTATTAGTGTGATTTTTGATTGTAATTAGTGTTGTGTAATTAAAGTGTCAATTTTGGTAATTCAGTCGGCAGTTTTTAATTGTCTCGAACCCGAAGCTCGTAACAGTATTAAAGCTTTTTCAAAAAAATGTGTAAGTAGAAGCTACCACAGTTTTTAAACTTTGTCTATATTCAATGAAAATTCTTCACTTTTATAAATTAGAGGTATGAAAAAGCCTCCGTCTTGGGAAGAACGAGTTAGAAACCCAGCGAGACTTGGTGAATAGAATTAATTTACAATATTTTTTATAGAATAAAATTAGTTTGGTAGCAATCTCCTCATTCCCAAGGATTATTATCAATCACATACTCTTAAGTAGTATAATAACCTTTAGTAAATTAATTTTGCTTACTAAAAATTTAAACTGATTAATAAAGTCTTATATTTTTAATGTTAAAGGTTGTTTATTAGCCAGTCAGATACTTTATTTAAGCCTTTTTGAACATTTTCATAAACTTCTTGCCACGTGTTTGCATGAAATATTACATTATATTATATCGGTATATAAATAGGCCTAAAGCAGGAGTCGATGATGCGTCAGTTTATAGCGATATCTTTGTTTAATTGTTATGTCCTACTCACGCCCCGTCACTGCAGTTAATGTTCAACGCTCTCTTTATGCACTAAGCTCCTGGTAGCTCAATATATTTAACTAATATAGAATTACTTTGAAAAATACTATTTTTAAATTAAAATAAAATGGTACAAGAAAGACGTCCAATGTCCACCGAAGCCCGAGGGGAAGAGGTATATACATTTATGTTATATTTAATAGTTTATAGGAGCCGTGGTAGCTAGGATGGTTGTTGGTTAGTTTCATAGTATTAATTCTTATTTGAATAGATAGTTTTATCATTAAGGGTATTTATGTAGCAGTAATTCATTCAAATCGGATGTTTAATTTAGAATGTATCACAGGTATAAAAATGCAATGCACGAACCGTTCGACGCATATATATATAAGGAATAATTAGGATTCTGCACAAATAAAATAAAACCCATGAAATCTAATGGTCATAAATTAATACGCAGGTGAAGTCGCGGGGAACAGCTAGTATTACATAAAATATGTATGAACTAAATTATGTTATGTAATTTTCATATTTGTCTTGCAGGCGAAATGTTCGTCCAGAAGTGGTCGTTGTCGTTGAGCGGTTAGATGAGGAGACCGGCAACACGAGTACTTGTTGGCGGACCAGCATGAAGTATATCACGAGGAGGTAGTGGCGAGTTCGAGTGGTGGTGCTGTGCGAGGCGTGCGATTCCCAGCGACGGCAGCAGCAGGCGGCAACGCTCTGTAGCTTAAACTAATCTTTTTTCTCTACTTGGCTACTTTAGGAGAAGGGTAATGTGTATGCATGTATGGATGTCCATTTTTTTGGCACGTTCTGTAGCCTAAATCAATGTTTTTTCTTTACTTGGCTACTTCAGGAGAAGGGTAATGTTTTTCCAGTAGGCATGTATGGATGTCTTTTTTTGGCATGCTCTGTAACTTGTTTGTTATTCGATTTACTTTAGTAATTACTAACTATTCGTCAGTGACTATTTGTCACACTAATTGGTTTCATACGCGTGTATTTGAAATACTGTATGTTTTTAATAATGGTATTGTTCCATTCATGCAAAGCATACACAGGGTTATTTTTCAAAGAATAGCCAAATTTTAAACTTAAGTTCAAATACATAAATAATAACATATCATTATTGCAGTTTTTGAAAATACGAGTAAATAAGGCTAAAGTTAACTTTTATTCGAAATTATCCCAAATTGAATGTGATTTATAGGCCACAACATTTATCTCCACCTATCGACCGTTACGAATGTGCACACATTCGTACACTGTAAAATTAGTTAAAACAGTGTATTACCATGCATTTTGAATTCAAAAGATAAACACCATAATAAGGACCATAAAGGACCGTATGTGAGATTTTTTTGAACTGCGCCCTCTTCTCCCAAAAGAGGGTCGCTTCCGATCCGACGAAGCGGCTTAATCGGCCAATCGTCAGTCTCACAGGCGGTTTTTAGTGGGTAGCACCTAGGCTCCACTTTTGGGTTAGAAACAGTGAGTCCCACATAACCGCGACAGACCGGCTGTCGTGGTATGCATAAAGCATTTACCGCCTCCCTACGTAAAGTGTAGCGTAACTTTCTATCTTTAAAAGACGCAATTCAATCAGCATTAGATGAGGAGCCACCAACCACTGCTAATCCCAATTTTATGACCATAAATAAAAAGAATTCCTATTTTCGCAATTCCAGGGGACGTTATAATCACCGTGGTCATCAATATGGATCGTACAGTGCCAACCTACAGCGCGGCGTTGTAGTGAGCAGAGGCCAACAACGACCAATGTGGCGTGGCAACCAACGAGGTAGACATTGGCGAGGTAATTCCCGCCCATACCAGAATAGTAGAGGTATGAAAAATAATATTAATTTAAAAGCAGGGCAAAACCAAAGTTACGTAAACTTCATTGACCAAAATAATTTACAATCTCAACCCACCTCTGCTAATAATAATAATAATCAATTTTTTCGAGATTAAGGGTCATATGTTTTCATGTAATAATGATTCACGTTTTGTTGAATTTACATTTAACGATTGTTTTACTTTGCATTGTTTAATTGACACCGGCGCATCAATTTCTGCGCTAGAGCTTAAACTTGTTTACACTTACAACATTCCATTCCATAAAGAGAAATGTGTGTTTAGCGGTATCGGAGGTAGTGTTGAGGCAATTGGATATGTGTTTCTCGAATTGAAAGTGCCCCAAGGATCCTTTCAACATAAATTCTTTGTATTTGATACTCTACCTACTAAAGCTACTGCTATAATTGGTGATGACTTTTGCAAAAAGTTTGCAGCGATAATAGATTATGAAAACAATTACTTTTCATTGATTAATTCCAATAATGAACGAATTTATTTACCTA